TCGGATGCGCCACACTATGTAAAGTATGCGACATGTTGTTTAACACGTTGTGATACGTGGTAAGAAAACGTTGTGATACGTGATTTTAAGAAAGCGTTGTGGTACGTTATTTTACGACATTTCAAGAATTTCAAACAGCTTAGCTTTCAAATTTTAAAAAATTAACAATTCGTAAAGCCCCTTAGAATAAATAAAAAAGATATTTTTTAGAATCTCAATTCAGTGAAACCCTGTTCAGTGAAATTAAATTCTTACGAATTACGACTATAACTACTCCGGATGTACGGTTCGGCAGCCAATGAAATGTAGCTGCGGGTTCTGAGTGTCTCCGCCTCTTCACTGAGGAGACTTTTTTGCCTTCGACTTTTGACTTTGATGAAGACATTAATAATGATATGTATATACATAATATTTGCTGAAATGCATAAATGGATGTGTAAAAGTATATTAAAAATAATCAGAGAAACAAAAATTTCGACAGTTATGCTTACGTCTGTTATGGCGGCCAAGTGTGGACTTGTCGTGCAAAAACATTTTTTCTTACATTTTTCAGTATGTTTGTTGAACGCAGTTGGAATTCCTGTGCTTCATGCTGAGTCACAGTATAGTGCTGTTGGATCTTGGATGCGCGACAGTTCGCCGTATAGTGAAGAAATGGCCGAGCGACGCTGGGTTACGGACGACTACGCATCACCGGTTCTTTATGAATATGAAAATGAACGCGAACTGATGAATAAGAAGCAAAAAATCAAGTAAATTGCTTTTTCTGCTTCGTAAAATTCTTCCAGTTTTTCTGCTGGAGCCATCCAGTTTCCATTATCTTTGACCGTCGGCTACTTTCTGTGGTCATCTTCATTGCCATTAGTAAAATGGTTTTTTTTTTTGGGTTAAAAGTATCAAGACTGGTCGGACAATTGGTCTGGCCATCCCATGACAGTGATATTAGAAAATTCTCGAACGCCAAAAGCAGTTGTGTCAGGTCGTTTCGGAGTAGCTGTCATAATTTATGATAATTAGCAGAGTAGTAATGTTGATTTTTTAATCTCCTCTGTGGCTTTATCTGTAGAATCAAGAAAAAAAATCTTCGTTTCGACAAAGAATATAATAAATTTAGTCGAGGAACAAAGAGTTTAGAAGAAAAATGCCAAATTTAACTAGAAAAGCGGAAATTCAAAGCAAATTAAAGAAAAATCCCACCTGAGGTCTTCGAAATCCCATACTCACGAGTATGGATAATACAAATACTAAATGCTACAAATGAATCGAGGTACAAGTTTACATCAGACCTATTGCTTTTCTCAAGAAGACCCATATTCTCGACAAGTACCACTAAATACCCCACTTTGTCCATCTGCTGTCACTGATTCATGCCGCATAATCAGCCTTACCTACCAAATTATATAAATTTCAATTAATTACTGCTAGATACTATGTGGATTATTTGGCATCCGGAACAGGCAACATAATCTATAATGGCTCCTATTATTATCACCGACACGGATCAAGTATACTGGTGAAATACGATTTGGAATCAACTTATCAGATTCAAAAAGATCTGGGTGATATCTCGTTTCTGGATTGCTCCAGGAAGCAGGATCACACTTTCGAAGTATGCCCATGTCAAAAACGCTCTGATTAAAAGCTACTACGATAAGAAATCTTTCTTTTATTTAACACCGGTTAGTCGTGTTAAAACCTCCCGAAGCAGCTTGTGCTTATAAATATTACAAGTTTCGTCTCTTTGAAGGCTGCTCTTAAGTGATCGTTTTCTTGCCCCCAAATACCACTCGTTAAACATGCGCTACCTATGATACCAGGTTTTTCTTTTTTGGACTGTATTTCTTCGATCTGTGTCGTTGGATCGTATTTTGCGCTTATACGTTACCTTTCTCCGAGATGTGCCCACCGACTACACTGTGTATACATAAGTCGCCTCTTTCGAGGTCCAGTCTCAATGGTCACTTTCTTTCTGGCAGTTGTCACACGTTGGTATTCCCGCTGTGTTATATACGCAAGGTTTCTTTAGATTTCGTGCCTGAGTTGTCACTTTCTTCCTCATGAGTGCCACTCGTTGATACATATCATCTAATGGCTAACAAAAAGCCTGCTTCTCGTTCCTCAAAGTCTGTAAGTTTTTTTTACATTCTGAAAGTCATAAGGATTTTTCAAAATTTGCAGCACTGTAATGAAACAGAACGCGACATTTGGTTATATAATCGCCCGCATAATTATGTTGATTATGCGACTGACGAGAACGGACTTTGGGCGGTCTATGTGCGATCCAGAATGCAACACATTACAGTTAGTAAAATTGAACCCGTAAGTATTCATTCCAGAATTGTCAAAGTCACTTCTTCCCTCTGTCACTCCCACCCATTCTTTCACTCGTGCTCCCTCCCCAGTGTAAAAACTGATGAAAGGCGAAGGCATTCGGAAGTAACCCGAGTGGTAGCAAATGTCAAAGCAACCACAAGTTGGTAAGGCTAACAAAGCCCCTCAAATTTTCTCCGTGGGAATGTTTTTTCGGCTTGCTCAAAACCAGCCACGGTTTTACTCGATACACTAGACATCCGAATGGACCAAGGATAGCTAGAGACAGAGAAATGGATGAAGTTTCGTTTTCCTTCTGAATGACACCGAAAGTTCATTGTGATCAGAAAAGCTCAAAAATTTCACAATCCTGGATCCGGAAACATTTTACGATTCGACTCATGCAGGAAACATACGCTTTAATACTTTGGTTAGCTGTTAATTTATAGTGCGGTTCTCTAACTATGAAGTTGGAAACTTTTTCAGCTGCTTTGACCGATGCTGCTTTGTTTGACGGTTAGCCTGCTGGGAATTTTGACATTCATTTCGCCTTTTAAAAAGATGTTCTACTGAGTGGTTAGCCTGAAAGAAGCACTTGGCAAGACTTTAATTGTTT